TAATTTCCTGTTGGCACACGGGTTTTGATTACTGTTCACACTCCAGTACTTTGCAACAAGCGCTATTGTTTGGACACGTTTTACACTAGTTCATTTCCTTACCTTAATTATTATTGTTGCCACTAGTCATTATAAGGAAATAAAATTATCATTACCCTGAAAGATCTTCAACGCACTTCCACACGTATCCACAACGACGCAGAATAACTCACAACCAGAATTAGTGGTTCTCAATGGTCGAAATGCGACCAAAAATTCATTAAAATTTTAAAGTTATTGAAGTTCTTTTAATATAATAATAATAATAATAATAATAATAATAATAATAATAATAATAATATTTATTGAGTCACATATACCATTACAATCGTATATGACGAGTCAATATGATGTCTTAGGTGGAGAGAGCAAAGTTACATTACTGTTCAGGAGCAAACAAGAGGCTATCTCAGCATTTGCTCAAGGGACCAGGGAAACTGAACACAACCTGATGGAGATGGGGTCATTGGCCTAGAAATAATACAACAATACTTGTTACAGATAGATTAGGATATTATACAGTAGATAATTATTTTTAGTAGCAGATAATTTAACATGTTATTTTAATGCTACTACTTATAATAATAATAATAATAATAATAATAATAATAACAATAATAATATTAGAACAGTACATATCAATTGTTAGCAACTACATACAAGAACGGAGGTAGGAGCGACGAGCAAGGTAAAAAAACATCGCAACGGGACTTGAGGGGCAGGCGACGTGACGATCGCGCGATCGCTGTAGTCATTAGATAAAGATTAAAGGAAACCTAACCAGTAAAGCAGAAACTATAGCGAACAGAGTGAGTAAAAGAGAGATCAGTGAGAACCTTATAGACTATGTAATATATTTCATTTCTTAATGATTCGCAGAAAGAAAAATTGATTGTAAATATTTCAGATGTTAGATGTAGTGTTGGCGTGGTGAAATTCATTGTAAATTTGATAAATAAATTTAATTTAAATTGTGTTCCGTTTGAAAAAAGGGGAGTGAAAGAAGTTTCACTGAACAATTCGCAAACATTTGTTACATAGTATTTGGTATCGACCGTGCACGGTGCTAAGAGCGTTGCAGATTTGTCGGTTCAGGGTATTTCAGTGATACTGAGGATTGTACTTTGTTTGATCCAGAGGGTGTATTTTAGGAGTTGTTTCGTATTTCGTTTGATTTTCAATATGTTGTATTATTATTGTACTTTGTAATGTGTGACATTGTTTTAAGAATATAAGCACTGATTTTATCTAACTTCTGTGTGTTGGGTACACTTTCTCACACCCGAAAGATCGTGCTACCTGAGACCATAAAAGCTCAAAACGATAATTAATTCTGCATCCCTACCGAGCTGCCTGAGTGGATGTTAGGTGATTAGACTGAGATGGTCAGCACACACACACACACACACACACACACACACATATATATATATATATATATATATATATATATATATATATATATTATATATATATATATATATATATATATATATATATATATATATATAGAGAGAGAGAGAGAGAGAGAGAGAGAGAGAGAGAAGTAGATAGATAGATAGATAGATATATGGTTGAGTTGGTTGATTGAGCCGATACGTTGCCGGCAGATCAACGAACGGTAACGCTGAATCCAAGCTGTAAAAAAAGTAAACAATTCGACGCAAGCTGATTGTTTCATAACAGGTCACATGACGGACCACAGCACTTGGGGAGATAACTGTCAGAATTGCTTACATGCTGCAGTTACCGTAGGAGTATGGTGGTGTCATTTGGTACCCATATGGATGGGTGCCATTTTCGCTGCACTCTTTTGTGTTTTCAAAAATTGCAAAGTTCGTAATTTTAAATCCGAATTTCGCGCACTTCATTTGACGCGTAGTCATTTCGCAAAATGGCAGCAATTGTTTCAAAATTCTTCGAATTCATCCCATTGTTGTTAGTCATTATTATTGTATAATGTACATACTATTGTGATGAAAGGAAATAGATTGAAGGCAGGTAAAAAAATTAACTTAGAACTAATAACCACACTTCTTTACTTTAAGAAGTTTTGATTAATTGATAGCTCACTTTGATGAAATCAAACCAGCCTTGTGTGGAATTATTCTTGCTTTTCTATATAATGGGTTGCAAATACTATAATAGTTAAATTTATTTCTTTTGTAAAAGTAAGGATGATTACTGTCCCTGATAATCGAAATAAATGTAGATATGCAACTAAGGCACATGGTTTGAGTTTCCTGAAGTGGACTTTTTCAAGTTATAGCTGAGATGCTATAAAAATAATGGCGCAGAAATTGCAATATTTCGGTCCGTAACTACTTCCATTAGAACGACAAAGTACGTGCTGTTGTAGCGCCGCTCGTTTCTTAAGAACTGCACTGGGCCTTTCAAAAATCATTACAACTAGAATATTCAATGATTTTCTTCTAACAGTTCTCATTTTTTTGGGGGGGGGGAGAGTGCCCGGATTTCTGACGAAGTAAAGTAAACAGATTCCAGTGCGTTTGCATGAAGTAAATTTCTTACAAAAATTGAAAATAAATAGGATTATTTTTGGGATATAATAAAATTAAATTTATTCACAAAAAATGTTCATTGTAATGAATAGCTCAGCAAAATTACTAGTAATAAAGGTAGCAGAGATCCTATCAACGAACTTGCAAACCTCTTGGTTGTTCAAGAGGCGGTCCAGTTGTCACTTAATGCTTTTTACTTTCTTACATACTACTTACTTAGTATACAGGAAGTATTGTAATGCTGCGCCAAAAAGGTGATTAATCGACAGAAAAACTTGTACGGGTGGTATTTGGTGATCCTTGATCCCGAACTTTTTTTTTTTTTTTAATTTGTTGCATCTGATACTGACGCAACGCGTCTCCAAACTCCTAGGAGGGTGTTGAGCGCTTGCTAGGAGTAATCGTCCGTTAACATTTTAATTATTATCTTCCGTTAATTTGTTGGTCTGCTTCAAGTAGCATATGCGCGTATGCGCCTCTCTTGCGCGCTCCTGCGTCATTACCCAGCGGAGCATCACCCAGCGGATATATACTCTCTGCAGCGGAGAGGATTGGGACGGAATTAGGATAGGGGTAGGGGTAGGGTTTAGGACACTTCACAGTGGTTGGACTAGCCCTTGTGAAGCAGCCAAACTCGTGTTGTCGGAACAAATTTCACATAAGATTGTCCGGGAATGGAACCCGGACCTCCTTGGGTGAAAGGCAAGTGACTTCACTCTGAGCCACCGAGCCAGCTTGAATTGATCTGCATTGTTCCTTTATGTGGTAAATTACTTCCTCTAACGTTTGTAGTAAGACTCATTTTTTATTGATGGATATTGTCAGCTCTTTAAAAAAGAAGATGTACAATGTTTTGAATATAAGAACAGTTTTGCGTATTTTTTGTGAAATATAGGCAATTAAAACATAATTTTCTCAGAAAAAGATAAAAATTTGTTCTTTAACTTTTTGTCTAATGTAACGAAATATTTATAACGAAAACTAACGAAATAAAACTAAAATAACGAAAACTTATAAATATGACGCGGAGTAAATTTCTGCTGAAGTCTTGATTTTCGAAAATTACACAAAATGAACATTAGAAAATTATAACATTGATGTTAGATATTTTTGTAAAGAGACCTGTTCCTCAGATTTAGATTATCAAATAAAGTCATGTATATTTTTTCTTCGAAAATGCAAATTTGAATTTCCCGCACTTTTTCCTGTAAAATGTCGAGGTTTTGCGACAATGGCAACACCGCGACACGGCAGTTTGAAATTCTCAGAATTACTTCTTATTGTTGGGCGATAATGTTTCTCTCTGAATGAAATGCAGTTTTGGATAGTTGAATTTTGTGTTGAATTAGCTTTTAAAATTATTCGTTTTCGCATCACATTAACCGCAATTGGTAATGAATTTTACCAATGATGGCTGAGATGTGTCACTATGGTCAGAAATTGTGATATGATAATGTTACTAACCGTTCCTAATGCGAGAAATAATCGCTTTTGTATCACCATTAGTCTTATTTTGATGCGACATGAAATAATATGTAAGCATAAACAAAATCATTCTTGAGAAGTACATGTGTTTTTTAATTACACCTACATATGATGTTGACGGCGTATGCAGAGGACTGGGCACCTTGGCCCCTGAATATGTTGAAAGAGGCCTCGTGGCCTCTACGTAGCCCGTACGACATAAAACAAGAGGATTTCGAAGCAATCTGTCAATTCTGTAAATGATTGAAAATGAAATAATTTTTATTTATTAATTGTACTAGTAAAATTAAAATTGTATTCGGCTTTGTATATTTTATTTATTTACTTGTAAAATTTGTCATAAAAAAATGGTTAGTTAATGAAAAAGGGAGACCAGAAATGTAATTGTCCCCATCTTGTTTGAGGCTGCAACGCCTATTATACCTAGGACAAAAACGGGTACAAAAATATAAATTTGATAGAGACCCTTTTTTCAAAAAAATAATTATACAGCAGAAGGTATACAAAAAGAAATGTAAGGCATGTCTGCTTTTTTGCGAAACAACAAATACATTACACAAGTAGAGTTTTAAAAAAACGGCGGATAAATAATGAAATCAAAAGACCCTAACAATCATTAATCCTCAAGTTGAATTACAATAGAAGAAAATAACAATCTCATTTCAGTGGTGGGGCGAAAAATGTGTAAGTCACACAAAGCTGGGTTCTCGAAAAGTGGATTTAAAGGTTTCCAATTAAACATTAGATCTTTGGGAGGGAAATGTACCAATCGCTCTTTATATAGAGAGGGAAGTATACCCACAGGTGCCCCTCGAATTGGTGTAGGGACTTGACTCATTTTACCCACCCACCACTGATTTCACAATATTGCAAATGTATGCGCAATAGCCGTTTAGCATGGCTGTTTCTTCAAATTTATAATATCATAACACTTCTTCTTCTGGGTGGCATTGGTATTTGTTACTTTATCCCTCGCCCAGTGTGACATATTTTGATACCAGGGGGTTCACGTAAAACAACTTTTATAAATCGCTCGTTATGCCGTCCTACGTCTATCATTCGTTCTGCAGCCCTCGTGAGCAGTAATGAGTGAAATTATAGCATCACAAGCGGATATTCATAAAAATTGCGTCGTCTCCATTTACCCATTTTTAAATAGGGATAAGGTATTTTATTTATAAGCTGTGTGGTCAAAATCCATTTAAGTGACTTAACGCATATTAGAAGCTATTAAATAATACACCTGGAAAGAAAATACTTATAAATAAAATCCAAGTGGCATGAAGATTAGCAAAATGAACTGTCTTATTTTCATCTCAACTAAGCAAAGTGTTACGTAGATCGTGATGTTGAAAAGCGCCCGTCTCCATATTTTACAACGCCAACATGGATCGTAGTGGCAGTGAAGGAACTGAAGTGGAAGTGGATACAGCCATGGCCGAAGCTGCCGTTGAAGAATCTATTTCAAGATTTTTTTGCCATAAGTGTAGTGTGGAAATACCTAGAATATTACCAGTAAGTAATATTATGCAGGAAACGAGGATTCATCAAAATTCTTCTAGGATATTAATGGACACAGAAGTGGGAATGAGATGTTTTGGTCACCTCCCATTTCGTATGGGCTGGGGTATCGCGCTGTATAATAGAACCAAATATTGTCATTGTTCATTATACATTGATGACTTGATTCTGTTGTTTTTCCTCGTGGTTGAAATTGGCGCTATTGTACCGTTTGTCCTGATGTGAAATAATTGTTTTTTTTCTATGTAGTGTTAATTTTCGTGTATTTGTGATGTGTCCCATTTCATTCTAAAGCAATTTCTTATAATTATTTTAATTTAGGAATACAAATGTCCCAACTGCCACAGTGGGTTTATAGAAGAATTGGAAGCCCAACCAGACCTCATAGATGACAGTGATTCGGAAATGGAAGACTACCCTTCTATTCATGCAAGTAGCACACAGTAGAATGTCATTTAAAATGTGGATTATGTTCTACTAACAAGTATATCACATGCTAGTTGTATTAATATTTAAAAACATGGCTGTTTACAAAGTGTCAGAAGTTATAATTAATTATCAAATAAAAATTTGCTTGGAAGTGTGAAAAAATATTCTTTATAGGACCTGCAATCACGATCAGATTTGCAAAATCTGCAGACTCTTCAGTCGCTGAATCAACGCTTTGGAGTGGAGATTGGTGATATGTTACTTGGGTTAAGCAGGAGCCCACCAGATCGTAGAGTTCTCCGTGGGAGGGATCGAGATGGGTCTGAGGCCCGACGTCCTGGAAGGTACGGCAGTGTCATGTCCAGGCAGAGGATAATGAGAAACAGGTGAGATTGTAGATTACGTGGGAGCTGTGAAGTCTCATTTTGAGGCAGTAAATTTTACCATATATGCTCTGGTATATTTGACACAACACAACACGTGGCTTTCTGCATTGTTTGAGTTGCTGTTGTGGCTTGGTGAAAACAACCAAGGTTGTAGATGTATTTATTCTCTGCTTTTGCTGAAAAATTGAGCAGTGGTTAATGAACATATATTCGAGTTCATAGTAACCCTTCAATGCAAGTCTTGAGTGGGTGAAGTAGCATTATAATGTTGGTGAAGGGGAAGGGGCTGTGTACATCACCGCAGAAGAACGATAGCCAGCTTGGTGGGGTGCGATCCTGTTTTCATACTGCATGCCATCCCAGAGAGGAAGATCCCTTGACATCTAGGTACCTATTCCCGCAAATAGAGGTAACACTAACTCTTCCATCTCAAGACAGCTTTCTTTGTTGAAGGGTTAAGTTGCAAAATTAATAAATTATAAAATATCTTGTATCAATACATTCTTCTGATTGTTTTGTGAAAAAAATTGTTCATGAAGGGATCATAATCTTGGGTGTTTTCAGCAGCAGTATTTTAATTTTATTAGGAGAAATGCCAGGTTGTTTTTGTTTGTTTGTTAATGTATGAGTTTTTTCATATTTGGTCCGTAGAGATTATAGTTTTTAGTGGAATTTGTAGAAATGTCACTGTAAGCATAAAACTGGGTTCAGAATTGTTAGCATAAAGATAAGATCAACAGGAAAAAAAAATTGTGATATGACCTGTTATAGTTGATTCTTTTAATGTTATATTTCAATACTTCAAAGAAACTCAAGTAAACTAATTTTTGCAAGTCATATCTGAAGCAGCTTTGTTGTAACATTAAACAACCTTTGTTTTAGGAAAAAATAAATTGACTTTTATTATCCAGTAAATGTTTACAACGTGGGGGTAATAATTTGTTGTTTTTTCTGATTGTATTAGAGTAGCGTTAGAGAATTCATTGGTCATTGATTGTTCACGGGAGGAAATATACTACTTTCCTTACAACAATATGATAAACCCTCAGAACTTAATTTTGATATGTAGTTGATGACAATTCCAGAGAGACTAAATAATTTTATTCCTTCTGTTCATTGTTTCATGTCAAATATAATTCAGAATTGGATAATGCATACTAGCAAACCTTTCTAATTCCTGCTGCATGCAGACTCCTATGATACAAAACTCTGCTGCGAATCTTACCATGTAAGATTCTAATGATCCTCCCTTTATCATTTCTTCTAATTTTGTTCTCAAATGAAATATTTTTTAAATTCCCTTTAGAACTTTCATGTTTTAAAATATTTACGTTTTTCTTCACTCATTCATTTCAATTTAGTGTGATACTTAAAGAATAAAAGAAATATTACAAATAGTTTTCTCCGCTGATATATTTTGTAAGCTGTGTTTTGTGTTGTGTATTGGAGTTTATATGGTATTGTGAAGAATGGGTTTTCATTTGGAGTACGTCATTAACCATTTCTACCTCAATTTATAAACTAATAACAGTCTTGGAGCTTCTTCATGTGTTATTTATTTTAATTTTTCCATTTGCTCTTTGTTAGCAACATAGGATGTTTATGCTAGTAAGAATGATTTTTAATCCTCATATAATGTTATGGTTAGAAAACATTTTTTCTGCATGATGTGGGAACTCCAGACTGCTTTTTCAAAAATTGAATTTAAAAGTGAAAATTATTTTACTTTCGTTTTCCTAGTCGTGTGATTATTTTCTCTCTGTTTCTCATATTCCTTTTGCCATTGTAATAATTTCTGTTATTTTCATGCAGAATATATAAATTGTACTAAGAAATTATTAAAAAGCGCAGAAAGATGACATAATTTATCTGTATGTACAGGATACTTTAATTTATGAAGGTAAGGTGGTGACATTTCTAATGATTGTAACACGTAGCAATATTTCTTAGTGAAGTAGTTTCAAAAAGTTTTTGGTATATGTGTTGAAGGTGTGTGAAATCTGAATAACTGTAGGAAAATGATAACTTTGTCATTGTGTGAAATTGCTACCACAAATTTTGTAAGTACACGATTCTCTTTTCTGCAATATATTAGGGATAATTTCTGATGTTATGTGCTTTTTCTAATTGTGGAAGTGCTTGGGGGGCAAAGTTCTTTAACAAGGGTAATATTCCGTTAGTAGATGTTGTAGATGATTTTGTGAACATATTAAAATATCTTTTAATATTTCATGTTGTTTGTTTGACTTTTTTCTCTTTTGATCAGTTTTGGAAATAACTTTATCTAATGTATTTCATACATTAATGGATGTTGTTGGAAGAATTTTTTCAACCACTTTTGATCAAGATGTAAATGCAAACATTTTTTTCTTTCATATGTTCTAACACTTCATGTAAAAATTTGATGTCTGGTGCCAATGAAGAGAGTTATGTACGATAGATAAGAAAAAGCATTTTTCAAGAAGGCGTTTGGTAACTTGTGGTTCAAATGATTTGCTTGATCTGAGAAGTTTATGCAAACGATAGAAGAAATGACTTTTTCTGCAACTCATCAAGCTGTCTGTAGGATGTGTGATGAAGGATATCATTCAAATATCTGGTGATAAATTGGTTTGGCCAATTTTTTGTGATGAAGATTTTAATTTAAAAATAATGGAAGAAGAATTTGTTTTGGTATTTAATGTTTGAAATTGAAGTTCAGATGATTTAATAAAAAGTATTTTAATTTTTTCTACAGAGTTCCACGGGTACAAAGACAAATGGCGCCAATAGAACATCTAATCCAGGACTTTCTGCTCAATTTAACGGGCGTTGGGTTTGGAGCACTGGGTGGTGGCAGAGGTGGTCATGCACCTGTGTGAGTACAGATGCAAACAAATCTTTTCAAACGATATGTTTTTTGATTAATAGCCTATTACTTTTTATTCTAATTTTTGTTTTTGCAGTTTTTTTCTTGGAAATCCTGGTGACTATGCCTGGGGAAGGGAAGGTCTTGATGCGATTGTGACACAATTATTAAATCAGATGGATGGTTCAGGTCCTCCTCCTTTGGCTAAAGAGAAAATAAAAGAAATTCCAGTAGTAGTCATTACTCAAGATCAAGTCAGTGAGTATAAGGAGAATATTTCATTGAAGTTCAGTGGTAGTACTTAAGTTTAATAAAATTTTTTTATAACTTGATTATGATTAATTTATTTAATTTTTCTAGGTAAGAATTTGCAATGTTCAGTGTGCTGGGAAGATTTTCGGCTTGATGAGCCAGTGCGGAAATTGGCTTGTGAACATGTATATCATGAAAACTGCATTGTTCCCTGGCTGGAATTGGTAAGCATTACTTTTTGATCAGGATTATGAAAATGTTTTCCATTTTGCAAGTTTTATTTTTTATTCCTGGACAAAACGGTTACATCATTTATGAGGGAAAACAACAACAAAAAAAAGAAAAAGTTTCAAATTTGTTAACCTCTTGATGGTGATGGTTCACATTTCACAATCACAAGAGGCTTACTATTGCCTTATATATTTGAATAATCCCCACCTTTGAATAACACTTACACCATACATTTATTGAAAGGAATCTTGGAGGAAAAACCTCTTCCCTCACATTTGTATTGCAAATAAATAGTTCCATTAATTTATTTAGATTTTTAAGGTTGAAACAATCCTCCTACTGCGATAAACTAAAAATAACTCTTGTTTCATTTTGTTATTATGCCAATCACAAATGCAACTTTCGTCCACATCGCAGTTCCTACCTGCTGCACTGTTACAAATTTATTCGACTTGTGCTATCACACATAATGATCTCTTGCATGAACTTGTGAAAGCCGTGATTAACACTGTGAATGGTGAACGTTACTCTTTTCTTACTTACTAACTTAAGAACTCCAATTTAAACACAGTGGCACTTCAAGGTCATGAGTTGGATAGAGAGGAGGGCACGGTCATCAAATGGAAAGCTTCATTACGACTTACATTTTTAGTATTGGTGCTCTTGATTAGTAGACAATGTCCCCATATCCTTCTAGCTCATGACCTTGAAGTACCACTGTGTTTAAATCAGTGTATACCTAACGAATGCTTTCAACTAACACGTGTTGCCACGTGACCATGTGCACAATGCTTCAAGTGACATGAATAATATCCGCCCTGATTTTCAGCTACAAATATCTCTCAAAATATTTTAAAGCACATTTGCTTTTTGATACTCTCTTCACCCTCTTCTCCATCTCCATTTTCTTCTTTGTCTTCTTCTTTTTTTCTTTTTTTTCTCCCCTTTTCTCTTCTTCTTCATTTTTCTTCTTCTTTCTTCTCATTTTTTACCTGGAAACTCGAGTATCAATCAACATCAAAAAAGGCCTAGGATATTTCACTCTGCCTAGTTAGCAAACTTTGGTAAAAGGTAAAGAAGGCTAAAGCTTATAATTTAAAGGTGATTATTTGATGTACTCTTCTGTTGTGCTTTTCTATTGTGCATCCAAACATTTGATTGCAGTACGGAGCCTTATGAAGTATTACCCTCTCTTTCTGTCCAATACAATTTTACATAAGAATCTCTTTTTCTACCGCAAGCTGTGTTGCCACTTCACGAAGAAGCTCGGGGATGGACAGGGTGCCCATCCTGTTTCTCACGCAAATATTTAACAGTTTACTCAACGATAGATTCAATTGTGTTGACCTTAGGCTAGTGAATTTTTTTTGTCAGTTATTCCATGAACTCTTAGGAATGTGATAGTTATTTTATTATTGATTTTACGGGTTTAAATACAAAGAAATGAATTATAAATGATAGCAAAGTGTTTACTTTTACATTTTGATGTCCTTAAATTTTTGCATTGCAAGAAACTTTTTTATTATTGAAGAGAAGCACAAACATCCAGCAGATCAAATGACACGGAAAGTCCAAATTGTGATATGGTACCCACCATGTTTCTTTGTGAACCATGGTTCTTGATTTAGACGACAATAAAAACAATATTTAGTGCGCTTTGAACGAACATCTCATGTTGTTTGGTGATCTTGAATACTTCTCAATGATCCTCCATTGGAGATGTGAAAGGAAAAATAGAGTATTTATTTTTGAATTTCACTTATTAAAAACAGTGAAATATATATAAACTTATCTGAAAATGAATTGGAAATTTTACAGTTAACAATTATAATGCCAATCATTCTACCAGTAATTTTGTCTTTGAATATGCCTTCAAATGCAAAGATGCAGTGAATTTCTAGCTGAATGTTGAAAATGAATATTATGCATTGTCCGCACAAAGACTTGCAAAATCTGATACCATTCATGTCAGTTAACATTTGTGAATGGGCATTTCCCCTTTATTTTACATAAAAAAAAAGTCTTGGGACTGTAAATCAGTAACATTGACCTTGATATCAATACCATTTGTTCATACTAATAATTTAAGTCTCATTAGTGTTTCATGGATAAACAATCTGTTTCACCAGGAGTTGGACTTGTTTTGCTTTTGATATTTCAGTTTTAAATCTCATTTGAAGATGTTTTTTTACAAATAAAAATTCAATTCTCTTCTTTTATAGAAAGTTTTTCATTTATAATATTAAGCTAAATATTTAAATTGTTTTTAAGTGATTTTCGTTTAAATGGTATGCTAATTTTTTCCGGGCTTCTAGATAGTATGTAAGTTCTGAACAAAGCTTGAGACCCCCTGCCGAAATCCCATCTTGCTTATTAGTACTTAAATAGGAAAACTAACTTTGTCTCCCACAGACGACTAGCGAAACCCTGAGCTGTTGGTGTTAGTTATCAGTGTGAAGACAGATTCCCTTTTGCTGGACATTGGTGTAGGAAGCGAGGGCAAACATTCTCTACATTTTGCGAGCTGGTAGAACACCATGCAAAACCCACATACTATTCCAATTTTGAAGGGCTGTGGAGTTAGAAATGGTGTTGAGAGACATTAGCATCAAGATCTTCCCTGACCTCACTTCTCGCAGCAAGCAAACAGTAGCATCGTCAGTGCCAGAAATGTCTATGTACCAGAGTTAGATTTCTACTGTGTTTGCATTCGTAGGCTTCCGCGGCCGGAGTCAGTACATTGTTGGCTATCCGGGATGAGCCCTGTCTCGGTAAATTGTTCTGACATTTTGGCCATCTTGCAATGGCCTTCTTCAGAGCTATACTGCTGAAGTATATCTCTCAAGAAGGCCACAGCAAGGTGGGCGAAACGTCAGCACAATTGACAGAGACGCAGCTTGTCCCGGTTAGCCAAGAATGTATTCTAGTGTTTGTTTTTTTCACGACTGATGGCAAAGGTCATATCCATTGGTCTCTTTTCTATTTCAAGGGCACAGTAACACACGTTCTTCATATTTCTACTGAAGTCAGTTGTAAGGATATCATAAACCAATGCTATTTTTAAGAAAACTGAAAACTTAACTAGCTTACAGTGCCCGGAATAACATTCTTATTCTACTTTTTCACACTTTTTTATTAGAGCCTACTGTTGTCAAAATTTTGTTTCTAAGCAAAAGAGAAACATATTTATTTATTTGTCCCATAAAACATAACATTTTCAAGTACTCATATCTTTGCAATATATGAGCCGGTAAAAGTTAATGTTTGTGTTTGTATTATTTATGCGTGTATTCAACCTCCTCCTCCTGAACCTTCAAATAAAACAGCTGCAAAATAGCAGCTGCTGTTGCACATTATTGCTCTTATTGAAGTTGGGCATTTTGCTGGTGTTTATGGGCTAACTTAGGGATCTGTCTCTCAAACTTACTCAGTTTGCTTCCAAAAGATTTTAAATAAGTTGTTTTAATAAGCTGTAAGTGTACTTCCATATTTTCATGTATCTTTTTCTAAGGGTTGAATGATTAAAAAAAAAAAAAAATGTTCTCCACATTTGTATTTTTAAATAATGTCATGTTCATCGTTTTAAAAGTTGTAGTAATTTTCATGCATTTTGGAGTAAAATATGGGCAATATTAACTTGGCAATTCCCATTGCTATAATATGGAAGATTTTAGTTTTCCATTCTGAATATTACTTATTTATCCATCCCTTTAACCTTTGAGTAGGTTATTATTTAAATCAATACAATGGTTTTTGTTTAATGGGGGTCACCTGGAGGTGCGGGTCTAGCAAAAACAAAATTATTTACAAGCATTTAGTGGTTCTTTTTACTCAAGAAAATAAGAAAAAACACGTAAAATTGAAGTTAAAGTAGAAAATATATTCTTTTTTACAATAATTTGTATTAGTACCAACACTGAAAATGAAGGGCTACTTTGCACATTTGGCACATGATTCTTGTGCATTGGTGACACGGGCATCATTTTCTCTGTGAACAGCTATTCTAATGTAATATTCATCGGAATCTTTTTTTACTTCCGGTTGCACTTAACCTTTGACAGGGGTTCCTGCGGGGCAGAATTTGAGGTGCCTTTCTATTATACAAGCAGCAGTAAACTTGGCCAATCATTTTTGAAAGTCGCAGTACGTAAATCCAGTGGCATTTTGACTTTCATTACAAACCAAGCATTATGCTTGTTTACAAAGAAAGTTCGTGTTTAGCGTCCTCGTCTCTTTACCAGATCTGAGATGTTTGAGATTGAGTTGTTTTTTCTTCTTGTAGTATTTCCTGTCTAAGGAGGTAGAATTCATTGCTGTTTTCTAAACTATTTCTTCACATGCTACATCTAGTTGATAAACGTTTCCTGTGTCAGAATCATCGTTCATCGTTATATGAACTTCAACAATTAAGTTCTGAAGCCAGCTGGTCAGATGATTTGTGTCCCTTTTAGTTTCATCACCCTTTTCTTTATTGATGAACAGAGCAACATCAGGAGGTATCAAAAGAAAATTATCATCTATTGTTTCTAATCGCTTGTGCACTTCTAGACTGCAAACGATAAAATATAACAAGTAAGAGTGCATTCCACCTGATATCACGCTATAGCATTGATTCTACATAAAACGAGCTCAACTCCTGGTGTCACCTAGAGATGACACCCCAGATTAGCGGCCTGTAAAACCTATGTTATCAACAATTAATTACCAATGACTTATTTGCAGTTTTGATAATGCAGTAAACAAGTTATTATTTATTTGTATTTCCTTTATCTTCCAATTTTTATAGGAAGAAAGCCCAGAATGACATTATGGGCCAAAATTACGACATCTTGAATAAATTAAAACAATTCCCTAGTAGCAGTAGTGCCAAATTTCCATTTCAGTATGTTAAAGAAAGGTCGAAATACAAGTTTGTTGTCACCAAATTACTCAAAATGCTAGAGACTATTTATAGAAAATGATAAAAGATGTCACCTGTAGGTGACACCAAGAA